AGAACTATTTTTGACGAGGGTTGCCACCAATTTGAAAATTTTAACTCAGTTAAATTGATAAAATAAAGAATATTTTATATCTTTTTAAGTATCTTTAGTTAAGATTTGCATTAAAAAATTTTAAATTATATAGAGATTTTGAAAAGTTTCAGATACAATTACAATATAAAATACAACGTGATGTACATTTTTTCTTTAATTTGGAGGTATATTTTAGCTTACAGGTTATCTTTTTAGTCACCTACGCCTCTAAGACGTTTGTTAAGGATTTAAGTAACTAGCAAATAGACTAGGCTTCTAGGGTTAAAACCCTTAAAAATATCCCGGATGTCTCATCTAAATCCGTCCATCCATTCCTGAGTGAAGAGAGGTATCCCATGGTGTCGGTTCTTCATTTCATCAAATTTGAAATCACTCTGTATCACTAAAAACTTCTAACTAAAACCTTATTGCACATCCTTTGGCCCAATTCTTTAATTTCAAATCATGTTTGAAGTTTCAAATAACAGTGCAGATATGACGACCCTTTCAAAAAAAAAAATATGGATTAGGGCATGGCTGCTAACACCAAATATCGTCCAAGTTCATATCTTCAATCTCGGCTATAAAATACTGTTTGTTATACCTTTCTAGGCTCGTGCCTCTGGTGCTTCAGCATAATTTTTAATGAAAAAAGCCACGATATTCTCATCATTGTAGAGAGATGAATTTCCCTGACGTTCTCACCACACCAAAGGAAAACAAGTAATTTTTAGCAAAAAAAACCGACTTCAACTCCCATATAAAAAAAAAAATATATATATATATCTCATGATCCACTGATCGGACCAGATTAGTATGGGACCACCTCTGAGACACTCCCTTTCCGATGCAAAAAGAATTATCGAAATCGGTTGACGTGGTCCAAAGTTATGCGGTAACATACTTAACAAAAAAAAAAAATATTCCGACGAACTGATAACCTCCTCCTTTTTTGGAAGTCGGTTAAAAAAACATGTGATTTTTCTAAGAATTCGCTTCGGTCTCGTGTGTTATTTGGTGTTAATGCGCTAACGCTTTTCATAAATTGGTGAAAGTGTGCCAACTCCGGCTACGGTGTAAATACAATTGCGCCGCGCAGCGCAGTGTTACCTTAATATGTCTAGTATGTGATTAATTTCATATATATCTCCATACCAAGTTCCGGTACTCTACCATGAACACTTCCAGAGATATGCAATATGAAAAGTTCGGTTTATATGGGAGGTGCCACGCCCCATCCTCCAACCATGCAAATATTTCTCCATGAGTATGGAATTGATCTTATATATGCATATATCCCCATACCCAGTTCTAGTCCTCTACCACAAATATATGCAGTTTGAAAATTTCGGTTTGTATGGGAGGTGCCACGCCCCCTTTCTATATCGAAACTTTTTTTAGCCTATAACCATCCTTGGAAGGTCTGCAGTAGATCCCGAAATTTCAAAAAAATCGGTACGGCCTTTCTCGAGCTTTGCGAACAGAAAAAACAGCTTTCAAAATATATATTAGTATAGACTAGCCAATATCTGCTTGTTTTGCTTAAAACACTACTAACGATGAAAATCGATGGATAAATAAACAAGTTTGCAAGGGTTAAGTGAGAGTGCAAGAATTTTTTGTATGAAATACTAGCAGGAAATAATGTTACTTATACGCCATATCGTACATGACCGTATGACCATGTTAAAGTTTGAATTTTTTTCAATCGCAATGCAAACTTAAAATGAAAATAACTTGACTAAATGACCTTATCTAAAAAAATGGGTATACAGATCCGTAACATACTACTTAGCGTTATCATCAAAATTTAGCCATAGCAATGCAATTTGTTTATAAAACTCTTAGGAGGTAGGATCTCCAGTCCGACAGGGCTCATAATTCAAGCGGACTCTATCCTCATTTGTAACGCAGGATACCAGTAAGAGTACTTCAAAGGCCCCAGAAGGCACGCCATTTTGGGTAGAATTAAGGGTACCATAATATACACAATTAAGTCAGTGCATTTTTATAGATACGCAAGGATTAGTCCAAGAGAACAGCAGTGCCCAAGGCAGCAACAGTTCGGGCGAGTTATGCCAGCTTCGACATTTATGGGTCTCGTCTGCCGCGCAGCGCGTTCGCGGTAGGATCTGGAAAATTTAACCGTTACCCTATAAACTGAACAGCTACAGTATAAGTTATTCAGTTTTCTTAAAGTCCAATTAGTAATACTACTTAGGTATAAGTTATTTATTCAAGGCAGTTAGCAACCAAGAAATTTAACAAAACTATCGCAATTCAACAGTAAAATTTTTTTTTTATACATTTTTCGATTACTTTTTAAATTACTGTGAGGAATGGAATTCGAAAAAAATCAATTACATTCCTAGCACGTAATTTATTCCAATTACAATATGAAATTCCTTGTAATGGAATTAAAGAAAAAATAATTCCATTTGAAATTACTTCAAGGAATTGAAAAAGCAACCGATTCCTTTGCCTCGAACTGAAGGAATTGAATCCTAATTACAATTACTGAGGAATGTAATTGTAATTGTAATGTAATTGCATTTACCCAGCTCTGATCGGCATGAGTATTTTTTTTGTTGGTGTGGCACAGTGGAGGGGATGCAAGAAACCCACCCCAACCGTTGAGCTCAGCCAGGAACCACGACCATGCCGACTTTCCACTCCGCCCTGCAACAAAAGTACTGCTACACAACACATTTCTAGGAGTTTATCGCCTTAAAGAAAAATCTTGCCATACATATAATATTATACCTCGATATGTATTTTATCGGAATCCGCAATAAAATTTTAATTTTTGCAAAAACCCGAAAACAAATTTAAAAAAATTGTTGATTCTCACCAAAAAAACCATCTCCTCATAAAAAAAATTATTTTAAGAATAGTTATCGAAAAACCCGCAATTTTTTTAAACATGTTTTTTATAGAGAATTAAACAAGGAATACGATGGTATAATTTTAAATCCCTAATTTACTGGTCCTTACTATCATCTTCAAAAAGTTCAACTGTTAATAGCTAAGCTAGCTTTGCAACAATTTTGACCCCATTATATATAGAAATGCTAAGCACGTTTCTTTAGCTTTAAAACGACGTTAAGATGAAGTCTCTACGATGCGCAGAACCCGAGATTTAACGATTTAAAGTAGTACATGATTAGTCAGAATCACGAAAAATTGCAAACTATGACAGATCATATCTGCGAAGAGAAACAAGAAAAAAAACATTCCTCGAACACGTGTTAGCTTATTTCATGTATAGAACCCATAAAAAATTTGAAGCGAATCGGAGACATGACATACTTTTTTTACGAAATCCGTCCGACTTAAAAAAGAATTGCTCATACATAGAATTGATTTAACCCTGATATTTGTGTATTAGGGGGTTATTAGAATCCAGATAGTAGCTTAAAAACTACTATATTCGAATATACACAACCCTAGAATACTTCATTTGTAACTTTGACTTTTATTTTTGCCTGAAAAAATAAGACAATTGCCGATTATTTTCTGCGAAAAAAAATAAAAGGCAAATTTTAAATTTGCCTTAAAAAAATAAAAAGCAGAATTAATCGGTATTATTTGCTCAAAATAATAATAGTCAGAGTTTTAAGTCATGAAGGGATCACAGTCTACAATGAGAGATGAGTCTAATGGTACCTTTGAAAATGCTATAGGATAATTTTTTTCACTACGCTTTTTGATGTAAAAACTTGTAAAAGAACTTTTATTTTCAGTCTCTGGTTTTTAAGAATACGGTCCAGAAATTCTAGTGTATACCTCTAATCCAGTGATGCACAGCGTTGTCAGAGCTTCCAATACAAGCGAAACATTTTTGTTTCAGCATGTGTGCACACAACAATTCCCAGTAGGCCGCCAGGCAGTGCAAAATATTAATACTTTCCACCTGACTTTTCAACTGCGGAGCATAACAACTTCCATGACTATCGCACAGCGATATTCGCCTTCGCATGAATGACTTTGTGTAGTACAAAAACCAATAGAGTGAAATCGTTCGTATTCGAGCGTGGGCCCATGCTAACACACATGCTTTTTTCATGTGATCCTTCATCGCATCTGATACATAGCAGCTACAACTTAAGATGCTGAGTACGTAGTTGCTCACTACCTAACATTGTTATCTACGCGCTTCGTATCAAATTCTTACTTCGACTTCTCCTACTTTCCACCCAATTTAGTCAGTTGCAAATTCATTCCTACTCAGAATACGCGTGACTAGGCAATACATTTTTGTAGAACCTGCGGTCAAACTAGCAAAAGCATATATGCTGGCATAAATAACATAAGGAGCACCTAACAAATTGGCCTAGTGGTAAAACAACCTGCGCTGAGCTACTTACTGCAAATACTTACTTACTACAAACGCAAACTTGCTGGTTGCTAGCGTCGTAAAAGTGCGGCAGCTTCGTACACACGACTTGTACGTAAAAGCCGATTGACTTCGTTTGGCTCACGTGCGGAACTGGGGCGATTTTTGCTGACATCATGTTTACGTAAACAGTCGCTTGTTGTTGACTTTGTCCAGGATGAGCGAATCCGGACCCCAAAATTAGGAATTGGGTAAAGTCGAGCAATTGTAAGTGCATCTCGGTATGCAAATTATCGTCGTTAATAATCATATATTTACACCAAGGCGAATTCATACAAGGTGATCGCGGCTGCACAAAAACAAAAAACTACACTAACAAATTATACGCATGATAACAATCAAAACTCAAAAATGTACAACAAACAGATAATTTTGACAATCAGCACAATTCGCATTGATATCAGCTGATCTGCTAACACCACCTTGTATGAATTCGCCTTGATATATGTATGTATACCTATATTATGTATGTATGTATGTAAGTTTTTGTTTAGGTACTGTACACGTATGTACATATTGTACGTTAATACATTCGAAATTTGAAAGATAAATCGTGTTCAAGATTCAGAATTGTATTCATTAACTTTATAAAAAAAAAATAATTACATAGACATAACCGTAAGCAAAGACATTTCTATATCTCCAATCAAGTCCTCAACATCTTCTAATNTAATTACATAGACATGACCTTAAGCAAAGACATTTCTATATCTCCAATCAAGTCCTCAACATCTTCTAATCCAATCGAAAGTCGTATAAGTGAATCATTAATCCCCAATCTTTTCCGTTCTTCATCCGGAACTGAAGCATGAGTCATAATTGCCCTGAAAAAAAAGAAATAAAATCATTAGACATTTAAAAGTGAATGAAACTTCCAGACACATGATGCAGTAATAGAAGGTGATATACGTAGTGTCAGCTCGTTTCGACGGCTCCCTTACAAAAGGTTGTAATATTGAGCTATGAGATAAAGGGGATGAAATAATACTAAAATTAGTACTCTTTTTCGTCCATACCAAGAGTTATGAATGGCTTGATATTTTGTGACTTCAATCATAAACGGTATACTAAATTTACGAAAATGGTATATGGAAAGGTCTACCGCGAAGAAAATTAAAATAATATATCTAACGTATTTATGGGCCAACTTATCTGCCTTTCATAATATATACTGGTTATGTAAGCAGAAAAATTTTTGCGAAAAATGGTCTTGCTAGGTGGCGCCAGGGTCGATATTTTGAAAACCCGTATTTATGGCCCGATTTGGTGTTCGAATTTGGAGTGCTTAGTTGAAACATAATAAATTATAGATTTCCAAAAAATTTGAAGTATATTTGACATAACATCCATGTTTTATTTGCATTAAAAATTCATTTAAAAGCAATATTAACAAAATATAACTATGGAAATTATTGTCACGTAACGCCATGTCATGTGACGTTTCACACTTGGGGTTGTAAAAAAAAATTTAAACAAGTTGCATAAATTAAAAAAACTCTAAGAACAACTAGAATTACTCCAAATCATATTAAAACAAGTTTCATGAAAAGGGCCATGCACAATTCGCAGATTTTTGCGTTTTTGTAAGAAAAGAAAAAATTTACTTCCATTTTTGTCATGAAACGTCCCTCTCTTTAATTGCGTATATTTAAAAACCATACGGTTCGACTGTTCTTTTTTCGGTTAAATATAAGATAATTATGTGCTACACAAGCGCCCAAAGAAGCAAAAGAAAACAAATGTTTTTCCTTGTTTGTATCTCATTGAAACGTACGACTGTCACACGTACGTGCCGTATGGAAATACCCATTTATTACGTAATACATACAGTGGTAGACATATTTAAATATAGCCGCACCATATTTTGACCCTTTTCATTGGTTTCATTCTAGGTATATGTACAAATCGATGGTCCTCTGCAATATCGACACAACTCAAAATTTCACATTTCTCAATGCAGCCAATTAAAGGTTTTGTGTTTCGTAAATTAGCAATATGGAATATGTCTTGGAATGTAATTATTCCGCACTATTTGCAGTGACTCTGTATGGAAAATATGTAAGCTTTAAACTATATTTTTTTTCTAAAGCATATAGTACAGGCTCGACTGAAAAAATACGAAATAAGTATGAACTCCTAAGGAGCTAGACGAAAAGAACTCCACTGGTACTACTGAACAACGGTACAATACGAAAAATGTTATTTATCATAATAGCCCAATCACTTTAGATTTTTTCAACGAAAAGATTCCGGGAAGAAATTTTTTGACGCAGTTAGGTGTCTCCTGTGTAGGTGAACACAAAATGAAAATTTTTCCCCCAATTGCGATGTGGGAAGTGTCCGCCATCTTGGATTTTGTGGTTTTTACGATTTACGCGCGGATTTTGCATTATATTTTTTTTAACGAAAAATTCTAGGAATATATTTTTTGACAGTCTGTCTCCTGTTTTGGTGAACACAAAATGAAAATATTTCCCCAAATTGCGATATGGGAGATGTCCGCCATCTGGGATTTTGTGCTTTTTACGATTTACGCGCGAATTATGCATTCGATTTTTTCAACGAATAAATTTCAGAAAGAAACCAAATTCAGGAAGATATTTTTTGACGCAGTTAGGTATCTCCTGTTTAGGTGAACTCAAATTTAAATTTTTCCCCCAATTGCGATATGGGAAATGTCCGCCATATTGAATTTTGTGTTTTTTACGATTTGCGCGCGAATTTTGCACTTCTCGCAAAAAAGGTAATGAACAAATTTGTAGAGAATTCGATTCCCCATAGGGAATAGATATTTCATGTGCCTATCATCCGCCATCTTGGATTTTGTGTTTTTTACGATTTGCGCGTGAATTTTGCACTTCTCGCGAAAAAGGTAATGAACAAATTTGTAGAGAATTCGATTCCCTATAGGGAATACAATTTTCATGTGCCTATCATTTTTTAAACAATTATTTATTGCTAATATTATGCAAAAAATTCCCAAAATTAGGTAAGTGGCGTGGTTTCTTCGAATTTTGATCATTTAAACGGCAAAGTTGTAGAGAACAAAATTTCCAATAAAGGCATTATTTATATGTTCACGTACGACGTGTAGATCTCCACCAGCAACGCGCTCAATGCAGCGGCAAGAGGAAAGCTACTCAAAACACACAGTATCTCGGAGGTCGTGTTTTTGGCGCGTATTTTCAACTGTGGGTTCACCAATAGGCAGAGCCCATGAATAACTGTTTTCAGTCAGTTGAAACTGTAATTAGCAAACAGTTTTTGTCCTGTTATCAATTCGACTTTTCTCTGATTCTAAAGAGTTTTATTGTGGCGAAAATAACTATGTGTGGATTAGGACTACTGGTGAAACCACATAAAAATAAAACGCGCGAATAACTTTACCTCTGAGGTGGTGTGGAAAAAAGTTTTGAGTAGCTTCTCCCTTGCCGCTGCATTGAGCGCGTTGTTAATCGAGATCTACAGGACGTACGTGAACATATAAATAATGCGTTTATTGGAAATTTTGTCCTCTAGAACTTTGCCATTTAAATAAGCCACTTATTTCAAAAAGAAATTGCTCAAAATTAATAGCAATAAATAATTGTTTAAAAAAATTAATAGGCACATGAACATTTTGATTTTGTGTTCACCTAAACAGGAGACACCTAACTGCGTCAAAAAATTCCTTCCCGGAATTTTTTTTAATCTTACGTCGATTTTGGTCTAAAGTGATCGGGCTAATAAAAGCATCAACAGGTTATAATTATGCCTATATTCACGATAAACGCGCGTCATGTACCACTGGTTTTGTGACAAATGGCCAAACTACGCCCTTGTCGGATTCGTAACAACTAAGTATAAGTCGATTTGCCACTGGAAAACATGGTTGTTTATCAACCTAATCCGCTATATAACTCAAAAGCATGACATTATTGGTTGTGTCGTTACTGCAGAGGACTATCGATATATACATACAATGTATGCGGGTAAATTTTTTTTCGACATCGTTCCTAGCAGATTCGGATTCTACATAAAATTCTAAGAAAAAAAGCCCTTTAGACCATAGCCCTAAAATCCATTTCGAGCCTGGGCAATTTTTAAAGAAAATATCTTTAATTAATACTAAGTCCATAATCAGATGAATATTTACTAAAGTGTTAGGAATTTTTTTTTTTTTGTAATAAAGAGTTGTGCTCCGGAGTTTTGTGATATCGAAAATTCATTTCTGATATCTATTTTTTATTTAAAGAACCGCAATATGGCGCTTCAAATCAAATCTACTATATATTTGTGGAAGAATGTATGTATGTATGTGCCAGGTTGCAGCCTAAACGGATGGACAGAATTGAATAAAATTTTGCCAAAGTATTTCCATGACTCCTGGACCTATAATAGGCTAAAAAAATTGGATCTCGCCAAGGGGGGAGGGGGATGGGGGATACCTCCCATAGTGAAAATTTTTAATCAACTCTAACTTCGGAATTATAGTCACATGAACTCGAAATTTGAAATGCACAGATACCTATGGTAGGTGCTTATGGAAAAATATATGTATATAAATGAGTTTGTAAAAAGGGGCGTGGCACATCTCATAGGTGTGGAATCTTTTATCAGCTATAACAGCAGGCAGTAGTAGTGATCTCAATGTATTGCACTTTGAAGATTTGTTATAATTGCTCAAAGTGAAATTCAGATAAATTATAGATGATATGAAGTTCACCGGGTTATCTTCTAGTCTTTAATATATACTAAGTTAATATATGGATTAATATTTACTAAAGTGTTACGAACGTTATTTTTTTAATACAATAGGAAAAAAATAACTATAATTTAAAGGAGTGACACACAATGGCTAGAGAGGTCGCATGTGTGTATTCTTTCATATACATATATATGGGCCGTTCTTACGGTTTATATATTTTTCATCCACTCGCTTATTCCTTACCGAAAATTTTAAATAAAAATTGATGTATAGAATTGACAA